CAGTGACTCCGCCCTCTAACCAATCAGTGACTCCACCCTCTAACCAACCAGTGGCTCCACCCCCTAACCAACCAGTGACTCCACCCCCTAACCAACCAGTGACTCCACCCCCTAACCAACCAGTGACAGACACTGTTCTGACAATGCATTTTCAGGCCAGCAGGGTACAGTTAGACCCTCGACAGAGTTGGTCAGAAAAAGGGGGATTCCATGAATCCTGGGTAATGGAAACTGAGTGGAACCGTGCAGAGCCGAGCCGAGCCGAGCCAAGCCGAGTCGAACTGTGCTGTAGAGGGACTAGTGAAAAAGGGGCATATGTCACACCCTCAAGCTGTGATGCGTCTCAGATTTCAACCTTGCTCAAAGGCATTACAGCAGTGGGTTTACTTCAAATCCCCATGCCACCTCTATTTTTATTTTATGAAACACGAGACCATATCGGAGTCCAAGAGTGATTGGTTTTGTAAAAGGAGATTGAGTTGTTGTGTTACCTTTTAGTGCCACAGGCATCGGGGCAGGTGGGACATTTTTCACAGGTATCTCCAAAAGCTCCTGGCTCTGTGCACTGACAGCGGCCACAAACGCAGCTTCCTCGTCCACTGCACATCTTCCCATCATCAGAGGTGCAGGGGGACGTTTCTGTGGAGCAGTAGCAGTTGTCTCCAATATACCCAACGTGGCATTTGCACTCACCACAGTGGCATTCTCCATGACCTGGCAAAGACAGGAGCACAGACAGTCAGCAGTGGAGCGACTGCTGCACAGTAAAGTTGACACCTTTAATCGACAGCAGTGGAGATGCCTGCTTTTATGTGGACTTAATGCAGTGCCTGGAAAAGTTATGTATCACACATATCCATAATAAATCAATCCCAGTCCAAATGAACACTTCAGACAGTTTAGACATCATTCTATCTGGAACAATGAAGTGACTTAATGGTGTATATTCAGTTATCATGACAGTTTTAATGACATTCGAATAGGTAAAACTTTATTGTCATTGTACAGAGTACAATGAAATTACAGTTCAGAACACTCATTCACAAGAAGACAGAACATAACAAACATAGGAGAACAGGTGCCCTGGGTCATGCAGCCATAGACCCCTGCACAGAGCAAGAATCATCATCATGAAAGGATATCATGAGGAGGTGCTACCCTTAAAAGAAAAATGAAATACCACATAAGGATAGATGAGGGAAAAAACATTAACATCATATTATGTCTAACAAATGTGACACATTATGGTATTTGTAGAAAAAAACCTCATCATAGAAAAGATTGGGGTAGAGAGTGAGGGATAAGGAAGAACAAAAAAGGAAGGGGGTGGATGAGAGAACACAGGGAGGTACGAGCGAAAGCAGTGAGATAAGGTAAGTGTGAATCTGAAGCCATGAAATGTTGTACGCACATGCGTAAGAATCTGAAAAATAAAACCATTTGTAACCAGTCTCCGAACAGCACCGCCCAGCCATAGTCCCAGAGCAGTGATGTCATTCTTCATCTGTTTCGACCTTCAGCTTTGCTTCCAGATTCCAGTTCACACATGGGAGTAGGAAGAGGYAGAAGTGGGCCGAGCATCAGTCGACAAAAACATTTGTGGAGAGTTTGATAGTACCCAGCCTTCAAAGGGTGTGCCAAATCAACAATCACAATTGTTTTGGAACAGGCTGACACAGAAGATCTGCTTTCCGCCTTCAATGTTTTACTAGAACTCTCAATGGCGAAAAAAATTCCAATCAGCTGAATTTGTTGGTCAATTCTCGCCTTTATCCTGGGCTCAACTTCACCAGGGTCTATACATTCCCACCAGCAGGCTCAGGAGCCACAGCTGGTCTGCCATCCGCCAGGACAGCATCCAACTTACAGTTCATCACCTGCAGTGCCTCAGTCTGTGTGTTGACAGCCCGACATAAACATCGCAGAGCGTTGGCAGTCTCCACAAAGCCCAAACAGCCGCCGGCAATTTCCTTATTTGACAATAGGCCAGATTATCCACCTCCACCAATCGATAGAAATCCAGCTATCATTAATCCAAATATTCAAACATTTTCAAAGTCCTCAATCAACAATGGAGCCAGGCACATGATCATGCACTCGCCCCACGAATAGGCCTGTGTATTGGCAAGAATTTGGCGATATGATACATATCATAACAGAGGGGTCACGATACGATATATCCRGATATATTGCGATACTGTAAGCAAGGCAATATATTGCGATATATTGCGATTTCTTTTGTCCAAAAATTCTATTAAATAAAAACCTCTTACTGGGGAAAAAATGAAAAACCAAAATTCATTGTCTCAGAAAATTCTAATATCACATAGACATACTTTTGATACATTAAGCTGTGTTCTGCTTTGTTTGTGTTTTATTTTATTTGTTTCATATTTCATCCATGTTTTCAATTAGACTGAATTTGCCAATAAATAGTTTGAAAATATATTTTTTGCAGCTTTTAGTTTTTAATATTAATTTACAATATGGTCACCCAACACTTAACAATAGCCTCTACCTCAAGAGGTAGAGGAGCCAAATGTCTGGCTCACTGCTGCCAACTAGTGGTCAGAGGCTGAACTACAACATAAAAATGAACGGCTGGCAGGAAAGTTGACATTTTAAACCTTAATAAAAAATTGATACAGGGCTTTAGAATATCGATACAGTATCAGGAAATGAAAATTAGCAATACTTCAGTGTATCGATATTTTCTTACACCCCTACCCACGAGTCCTGCATGTGCCCCGCTGCAACAGTGTTATCAGGACATGAAGGCTCTCCTTTGCCCAGTTTCAGTATTAGGTGGTATTGAGTCACTAAGATAGTTCACATTTCAAGTTTGTTACACTGGCTGCAAAAACTGAGAAAATTGTTTATTTTCTTGAGATGGTAAGAACAAAAGGTTATTTTAAGATGTTGCACATCTGAAAGTGTTTCTTTTAGTTAGTAATATACCAACTTCTAACCACAAAAAGGACAAATAATCCAGAACTTTTCCACTTCTCAATTGAACACAATCTGAGGCTTCATATTTAAACGGTGCATATGCATAAAAAAGTTGCGTGCGCCAGGTTCCATGCGCACATCGGGATGTATTAAAACCAATGTTGAGTCAAACTGTGAGTAAAAACACACACTTTTCACCTGCAGTAAGAATGGCAGACATTCAAGCAAAGTTTTTCAGTCAACAGTTTTAAACCTCAAAGCTTTGAATCTGACCTGAATACACAGAAATACGTATGTACAGTGGGGAAAAATATTTAGTCAGCCAAAAATTGTGCAAGTTCTCCCACTTAAGAAGATGAGAGAGACCTGTAATTGACATCATAGTTAGACCTAAACCATGAGAGACAAAATGAGAAAACTTATCTAGAAATCACATTGTCTGATTTTTTAAGAATTTAATTGCAAATTATGGTGGAAAATAAGTATTTGGTCAATAGTAAATGTATTGTACTTATATAGCACTTTTCTATCCATCCAGGACCCTCAAAGCTCTTCACTCTACAATCTGTGTCCTCATTTATCCATTCACACAGCACTCTGTTAGGTCTCTACAAAGCTAACATGTACAATCATCTATGGAGACTAATCAGTGCCAATCACATTCATACACTGATGGGACACATCAGAGGCATTAGGGGTGAAGTGTCTTGCCCAAGGACACAACTGAGACAGCTGGACGGGGGATAAAACCAGTGACCTTCTGTTCCAGGACAACTCCCCTAACCACTCTGCCACAGCCGCCCAAAATAACAAACAAGCAYGATTTCTGGCTCTTACAGATCTGTAACTTCTTCTTTAAGAGGCTCCTCTTTCCCCCACTCATTACCTGTAGTAATGGCACCTGTTCCAACTTGTTCACACCTGTTCACAACCTCAAACAAGCACACTCCAAACTCCACTATGGTGAAGACCAAAGGACTGTGTAAGACACCAGAAAAAAACTGTAGACCTGCACCAGGCTGGGAAGACTGAAACTGCAACAGGCAAGCAGCTTGGCATGAAAAAAAAAAATCACAAAGCAATAATTTTGACCTCCGCATGTGTAGGGGTATTAAACGCTAGAATTCTAAAATGGATAATTTGTGAATTATTTAAACACGCAAATTATTTGTTTTTGAGGCACCACTAAAGTTTTTATAGTAAAACTTCAGAAAAACTTTCTTTTAATATTCAGTCTCTAAATATGAAGGTGTTTATTCTTTCAGTTTAATGACGGCGTGAGACAAGGAAATACAGACGAAGACAAATCACGTTTGGAAATTCATCCGTGTATTATTTAAAATGAGGTTCAGAGGGAAATATATGCATTACAAATCATTTCTCAGACAAAAACACACTTATAATCAGTTCCGTAAACTTAATCAAGAAGTGATGTAATTAATCTGGCATGATTACCTTGTGAATGGCTTCCTAAACATATTTCAGTGGGACACTAACTCGCTATTTCTAAGCCTATCGCTAGAGGGAGCTCAGGGGAAGAAGAATGAACATTGATTAAACTCTGATCTGATTTAAATCTTTGAACACACCATCAGATTAARTGAGCAAGATGTTTCCTACCGGCAAAGTTGCAGACGCCAGAACGGATACTTCTATGCTAATTGGGTGGCACGTGAAGTCCAACCGAGTCTGTGACTTAGCTGTGTAGAAGTTCCCTGGTCATCTGGTTTGCCGGCTGCATTCACTGGATATGTTGCCCAGCGCCGTGGCTGCATTCCTTGCGAGCATACTGAGGTCGTCCGACTTGAACTAAATCAGCCTCATCGTTTTAATCAATGTAAATCTACTTCCTGGAAGCTCCTTAAGATTAAACTATAAAAAGTAAAAAGTGGAAAAGAATGGCCTAGCTCGCCCCGGGATGGGGGAAGCTGGAGCTAAAAAAAAACTACTGCTTTCTCCTCAAAACGCTTCTTCAGAACTCACTACATGGCAGAACAATGAAATACTCCCTGTTCACAACGGAACTTCTCATTGGTTAAGACTTTCTGCGGTGGTCACATGACACCCTCCAGACATGTAACAGAAGAACAGAGTAATAGATAATCAACCAGATCAAGTTACTTAAACAATGTCATGATTATTACAGTAATTAAATCAGAGTACCAAGGTATTGTTTTGACACTTCACAGATGCTTTTTTTTATAGTTATACATGGAAAACATGGGTGAAAAATAAAAAAATTTCAGGGTTAGTAGATAAAATGTCCACAGGGTGGCATTGCTGACCCACAGATAAATCTGATGGGAGTTTTTTGATGCCAAACAATGTTTATTCCTGTCTTATCCTGAAAGAAGTGATAAACAAATTAACTGGCGACAGGAAGTCTAGCCTTTGTTCTAAGGCCTAAGGGTGAAGTACCACATGAATTAAACAGGAGTCATTATTCAAACTTTGAGATGTCGCAGGCAGGATGAAAAAGGTGGAGTTAACAGTTCTGTCTCTTGAGAAGATATTCACGTTTCCACTACACTGCCATGGGATAAACATTTGCACCTGTTCAGAAAAACAAGTTTTAAATCAGACACGCTTACACTG